GCATTTACTTCTCTAAGGGGTGGGTTGTACAATACTGATAAGGTCATTGGCGTGACTCGACCTTCTTAGTGGTAAAAAATAGACTCACAATAACTGTTTCTGAAGTCAATCATTAAAAGAATGCTAGAGATCCCTGAAGATTAGTACAAAACATTCTTCTCGGTGCTAAATGAGTAACTCTGTTTTTTATTAATCTCTAACATAGTAATTCTTTACCATGGAAAATAAACAATATTACTACTTTTAGACTAAAATAATAACAACAGTAATCCTGTTAAAGATTTAATGCCTTTTTTCAATATGTTTCCTGCCCTTGGCAAGATTTACGGGATTATAGTAAAGTACATTAGAAAACTGTGGGGATGGGTGGGTCGATGCAAACCAGTCAGAAGATAAATCATCCCCCATCAACTCTATACCCGCTAAAAACCCCATTATGAAAATACCTTTTTCTGTCAGGTTTTCCTGCTTTCCCCCACACATGCCAAACCACTTACATTCCTTCTCACAAGGTTTACTTTCCCAGTCTTTAATGGGATTTAGTGTAGAATTACCTGCTTTCTCCTCTCTTAACAATGCCACTAATGCTCCAAGTCTCTTGTGTCCAAACACCATACTAACCGGATGTGGATTTGGAAAGCCAACACAGAATTCCTCTGTTTTCTGTATTAATTCTTGCAAATACATCATACAGATTGAAAGGACTACCACTTGCTAAAGGTCTCACATTGCTATTTTCTCCCGTATGAGCCCTTCCCCAAACTTAACACCTATGTGCGTATCTAGGTTTAGTAAACAACCCCACTAAATGCACCCTGCTAGCCCTTCCACAGATCATCTGCCTCCTCAGGGTTCACTTGGCACTAAATTACTCAGTGCCTAGGTCCCACAATCAGTATAACACAGTTCTTCTCACAGCTGCTTTGCAAGCCTCTCTTCTAGGGCTTTCCCTCACGTACCCTCTCAGTCACTACAAGCACCACAGCTCAGTCCTACAGGCCTTAGGTCACCCCAAACAGCAGCAGCAACGTTGTCTCAGCACCTGGCAATTCCCAAGCTTCTCACTGCTCCCCTAGCCCAGTTTTCTTTACTAAGAGGTCAATGCCAGAAGTGCTTACAGGGCCCCCGTGCAGGTTAGTGAGGATGGCTCTTCCCAAATGGGTCATGCCCTTGAGCTTGGACTCCTTGGGAGTCCAGACTCCCATCGGCAGGCCAACCCTCATCAACTAGGGCAAAAAGTGTCTTCATGACTCCTCTCAGGTATAAACCATACACTGGCTCACAAATGCTACCACGTCTGTAAATAAATTGCCTGTCTGTAGGCCCCTGGAAGGTGGTTCACAGTTGATACACAGTTGATAGGCATCAGAGAGTAAAATGTGGTATTTTCAGTTAAGCACTTGATAATAATGTTACACACCACACTACAACAAATACTGAGGGAACCACTGTCCTGTGCCGGGCAGTCCACTTTGAAAAGAGTCTTAACAGCTGAGTTAAATTACCTTCCTCCCCTCCATAACGAGAAAACCAAGTACTGACTATCCCTGTGCGTTACACACTAGAGCAGCTCTCAGTGCACATACATTTTGTATGACTTATCCCCAGGATTCAAAAAATGGGGATAATAAAGAAGGGCTGGATAACACCACAGAGCCCTGCTATACAGACAACCAATTGCATTTCCTTCTAAAGGATACAGTGCAATCCAGATGACCTTGAGATGCGTGGGCTTAAGGGAACAGTTTCATAAATGAGTATAGCAAACATCAAAGAGAGCTGAGTTAGACAGACAGACAACACAGACCCAAGTGAATTTGAACATTGCTGTCATAGCACTATTTATAATTTTTCTCTCCAGAATAAAAGGAGTCAGTAGGCATCTGCCTATGTAATAAGACAAACTTCAGAGCAAGTCCCCATATCATTTACTTTCGGTAATGGCATATATTTGCTTTTTGAACATTTCTTAGTGGAAGAGCCTTAAGAGGCTGAATGGTAATGTGAAGAAATTAGTAGAGAGGGATGGGGAGATGACAGAAGGCAGAAAGAAAAGAGAGGGAAGCTAAATGAAGGTTTTCTACTGCATCCACTCACTTCAGAATAACACTACCTGCTTCTGCAAAAGGTCTGTAGTAATTCAGGAGCTTGTCATCAGAATTACTGTGCAACTGAAAGGCTCATGAAACACATTCAAAGAACTGACTCTCAGTTCTGTCTCTGATAGAGCTGAAAGCAGCTTTTTAACCTTGTGTTTTGCACAGTCTTGTCTGCCCAGCACATAGTGCTGGTCAAGATTATAGAATATTTTCCTTGCTGAATGCCAAACAGATGTTATGAAACACATCTGGTGGAACGTATATAAACACATGCCTTAGTGTTTTCTCATAATAATAGCCCAAAAAGCCCCAAAACCTGGAGTTGAGGGGGGAATGCAAAATGTAATCCTGGTCCATAGGTGGTCTTCATGTCACATGTTTTAAAAACCTGCTGCAACCCAGGAATCTTTGAAGATGCACTATCAGACACCCAGGCTACAAATTAGTAAACTAAAACAGGAGCTCTCCTCTAGCAGAGGAAGCAGCCACTCTATTAAACTTTCTTAACTTCCAAAACAGGATGTCCACATTCTGCCTGTTAGGAATGGTACCCACCAATGTGCTAACTCACAAAGAGTGTCTTTGAGGTATCTGCTGAGACTCCGCTAGTTGGTCTGGGCTAAAAATGTCCCTGGGATTGTTCTAATAATTTGCACATCTAGGCAATCGAGGTACAGTGCCCAGAAACGTTCTCTGTTGTTGTTAAATTTACTAGCATAGATGTAGCCCCAGTTTCTCTTGGCCTCTGGCTATGGATCCAGAAATACTCTCAAGTTCCCAGATTCAAATCTATGGCTTCACTGATGAGAGACTCAGGCATGCAAAAAAGTCCTCCTCAAGGCCTTGATTTCTGTGTAAAGAAAATGGACAAAATACACACCAGGTAGCAGAGGTTAGGCTTTGTGAAGTACACCCTAGCTCTCACTACAGCTCTGGGCACGGAGTGCAAGGCCCTGAAAGCATCTCTTTGCAAACTGGAGGGTTTTCAGCAAGTTGACTATACCAAAGAACCAGCTTATGCTCAGGTTAAGGTTCTTTCATGAGGCCATAAACGTATATTAGAGATTCAAGTCATAAATTGTCTAGGTAAAAAAGCATTCAAATTTGAGCTGTAAACTGTCTGACACTAAGAAAGAAATATATATTTGGGAGCACAAGGGGAGACGTCCTGAAAGCAAAAATGATAACAGCCTTCAATCAAAGTAACATAGGCCCTTGGTCAGAGCTCTGACAACAGACACTGTGACCAGGCCTGATCTTCTGCTTCCCAAAAACCACGTGGGCATGGGTGTTCTTGTACTACAACTACTAATTTTTTTGATGATTGCCATTGCCAAAGGACGGGAGGCACAAGAACAAGACACATTCAAAGAAGCTGGCTGTTGAGACTTAGGGATCTTACAAGGCCATGCCTGAGTTTCACACTCAGTCCCCTATTTCATTTGCCAAGTGTCCTGGTTTCAGTTCTGGTCAAAACTAAAACACCAAGGCATAACTATTTCTTAGGAATGATATTCCAACTGAATGGTATTTTTCTTTAACTTTCAAAAGCTGAAAATGACCTAGAATGAAGTCACATCTGATTTGCAAAGAAGATGTAAGCAACATAAGAATCGGATAAACAAAACGATCAAAAACATATTTAAATATACATAGAGTGGTGGCAATTTCAGAGGATTTTTTGTTACAGTAAGTAGCTCTAGGAGAAAGCAGCCTAATATTCCACAGTTTTTTTTTTTCTCAGTTTTCAGATAAATTTTCAGTTTCTGAGTATTCCAACAATTATTGGTTTGGGCTCCAAAAAACTTCAAAGCATCTGATTTTAATAACTTAAAACCATACCACTGATTATACTCCTGGTGAGTAAAATATTTAAGCTTGTGCTCAAACCCCACCAACTTACCAAAATGTAAACATGCATGAGTGCTCGTCTGGGATGTGCTAGGATCACCTTCAAGCAACATTCAAGTACTGCTGTTGGGCTGAATTAGGTCAGAAAAATGGTTGTCAGGGTTTCTGTAAAGGCATCTTAACCCTGTTAGTCTCAACAGGAGTTGAGCCGTTCACTTTCACAGGGACAGCATCTCCCTTACAGGGAACCTGATTCTTCCCTGTGCTGCTTTGGAGTGAAGCTGACACACCACCACTAGCAATTCCCACGTAAAACAGTGTCATATAGGGAAAGACTGAGTGCCAGGTTTCCATTCCTGACCTCTAACATAATGTTAACATAAAGTACTGATCAAGGTCCCAGCACCTTCCTGCATCTGTTCATTACCTGTAAAATGTCTGTAAAACCAAGTACAGTATTACTTGCCTATTTCCCAAGGAAGCAATAACCATAATTTGATTAATAAATGCAGAAGCACTTTGAACTTCTTACATAAAACACACCACACAGATATTGTCCAGGTCAGTATTTTCACATTATAAACTAGGCAGAAAGTGGAAAGAAGAAAGAGGAATGGATTAATTGCTACATTCATTTAATATAATTCATAAATGGATAAATACTTGTAGCTATTTGACTTGGCAACATTTACAGAACCTCTACAGCAGCAAACCAAACAGACTGACAGGAGGCTGGAACAAATCCCTGCAATAAAGACGTAAGTAGTAGACAACCCTTACATTGTTGCTGCTTTTATCCCACAGCTGCAGATGTATATACATATAGTACTCCAACTTGCTCTTAACAGTTCTAAACTTACTGAAGTTTAATCAAACAGCTACATGAATTAGTGGCATAGACAAGAAATGTAGTCTTATGGGTCAGACTGCATCTTGTGGTGCTATTAAGAAACAAGAACTTCAAATATCTACTGTTTGAGCAGCATTGAGTCAGCTGGACTTTTCTGTAAGATAGTAAATTATTTTATCTTGTTTTTCCATAATGTAAAGGTTAACAACAGAATATCCAGGACACTACGGAGAAGATATGGACATGATGATGTACACTTACGATCATTACATCCGTGGGGCAACCACAACTTTCTCTGCTGTGGACAGGTTTGCTTTTCATTTGTTTTGCTAGAAATAAATTAAAAAAAAGAAAAAGTTTTCCTTTTCTATTCCTCCCAAACAGTGCATGGCTGCATATCATGTGCTGTGGTACTCAGCATCAGGTTAGTACTTCTGAGTGCTAAAGTTCACTGTGCATGCTGCTAATTGTCCAGGGTGGTGTATCAGGTAAAGGGCATCTTCATGCACAAGGGGATCATCTGCCATGTCCATCTGAGTAGTGAAAAATACAGCAATAGTAGGCTTGGCTAAATCTGAACTCCACAAAGCATAATAGATCTTCAGTATTGTTTCTCACCTACCTCTACTTAGAGCATGTTTTATCTAACCCAGTAAAAAGTCAGCCTGGAACACCCTGTCCTTTCGGGAGATGAGAGATTTATTTTGGCCCACTTTTCTTTTCAGAGAAGTGGGGGATCTGCTAGCATTCAAGGATAAGACCATACAAACTGCAATCTGAATGCTCTAAACTTCCCGGTCCATGGCAACACAATTCTAACAGATCTGAAGCCACACCAGGAATCAAGGCAATGCAGTGCCCATTGACCCCTTTCCAGAAAATGAGTTCACAACTTTTTCTTGATCAGTCCTGGTCATTACTTGCCCAGGCCCTATGAGGCCCCATGGCTAGTGAAGTTGTAGTTGGATCTTGATTCTTTCCTCTCAAGCTGACCAATAATACACCAACTGTGAGTTATTTCTTTGCTGATGTTTTTTATCAGACACCTCAGTCCAGTATATTAAAGCATTTGTTATCAGAAAAGCATTTGACTGTTTGCACAGACAGCAAGGCAAGGTGCACTGCACTGGCCTGTCATTGCCAAGACTGGCTACAGGAGGAGAGGGGAGAGAAGAGAGAAGGAGGAGTTTAAACACACCATTTCAACCTGTCTCTAATAACACCCAAAGGAGCCAAGGTGCTTTTGTCACTATGATGCTCAGGTTGCCAGACTTCACTAGGGATACCCTCAGTCAAAAGATTACCTAAAATAAGAAGACCTTTCCACACTGTCAGATTGCTGCAGGTCTGTAACTGCAGTTTTTCTGGCTAAAATTCATTAGCCTGTTTATTAAGAAATGGAAGCCATGTCTGCAAATTGTTCCTACAAGCGGAAGCATCACTTCCACAGTTAATTGACTCAAAGGTATCTATTTATCTCTTTGGATAGAGAACGTACAAGGTTGCAAGGGACGTCCCTCTTCTGGGTTTTTGTCTTGAATGTTTTCCAGTGCTATTCTTAACCCTTGTTCCTCAACGCCATGGCAGACAGTAGGGGAGATAATGCAGACAGTGCACTCCCCTGGAGCTGGATTCCAGCCTCCATCAGAGGCGGACCAGGGTAAAGTCAGGAATCACAAGGACAAGCCTGGAAAACAGAGCAGTTGAGGTAACTGATGCCTCTGGGCAGACTCCTGTCTGTGACCGCTGAAGGCTTAACACAGCCTTCAGAATGGGGTGGCAGTGGGGAGACTGGCCAGGAGTGGAGGCGGCATCACAGAGATGTACATCAGAAGTGCAGGTCTTCCCAGGTTATGGGACCACAGTACCTGGAAAAGGAAGAAGCCATCAACACCTTTGTCCTACCACTGCTGTGAACCTGCAATAGTAGCAGGTGAAAACCATAGAGAAAACATTTTATGAATCGCAATCTACAAAACTTTTCTGTGTCAATGAACTTTCTGGCCCCCAGCTTCCAGAATGACTAAAATCAACTTGCAGTGCATCGCAAAAGAAGCAAAAAAAAAAATATTCCTGCTATGCCAGTTCGTAATTCAGATTCACACAGTAACTCTCCTGAGTGGTATACTTGCAAAAGTTTGCAAAGTTTGTCATCCTAAATGGTTCTTTGCAGTTGGTTGAGGCAGCACAGGAGCAAAGAAAGCTATTTCCAGTCCCAGCTTGCCAGCAGCATGCACATGTGCAGCTTGTCTGTGTGAACATGCTGTAGGTTTTGAGATTGTTTTTAATTTTCAAGCATGTTAGACTTCTGTCCATACTATATAGCCCATGATGGGCAATGTTTTTGAGCTAACGAGGCACAAAGAAGCCTTTGAAGGTATTTTAGTTTAAGCTTTCCTAATCACTTCAAGCAGTTAAGTATTGTTAAACTTTTTGAATAAACTTGAATAAACCATATCTTCCCTTCTATTCCCTAAGACACTGCATCACTGGGGTCACTGCTGATGCACAGATATTCAAGAGAGCATGTGATGCCTCTGGCAAAAGCTGTTGAAAGTTTAGAAATGTGGTATCCCCATCCCCTCTTCTGTAATCACTCTCTATGAGTTTCCATGTTTGTGTATCAGGAATGAATGAAGGACTTGCTGTTCATCATCAGAGGTTTTAAGTGCTCATCTGTGGAGAAATTATTTTAGAAGTGGTTAATATTTATATTTTTCAACCCATTTTAAAAGGGTCGAAAGGAGAAAACATCTGTCTATAGAGCAAGGCAAAAGCAGCAGGAAAGAATTAGCAGAGGCTTGAAGTAGCTCTGGGAGCATGTTTGGGAGCATGGTGACAATCCTGATGCAGGCAAGATGACCTATGGACACATGTAAGGGAACATTTGCAGGGAAAGGCAGTATCTTGTGTTAGACAGACTGATACAGTAAAGTTTCAGAGATGGACATGGGGCATGTGAAGCAGGTTGTGAACAAGTGAAACTGCCCACAGGGACATGCACATTGTAACCCCCTGGCAAAACAGCTTCCAAAATTAAAAAAAAATAATAAATTAAAAATAGCGTCAGCCTCAGCTCTGAAACATGCTAAGTTATGATGTCATGGCTCCCTTGTGGAGCCTTGTTATGTGGCTGTGGGCTAGTTGGATCAGTCTCTCAAGTCCTGAGAGCACCAGTGGAGCATTCACAGCCCAACCTGCAGCAAGTAGCTTGGACAGGGAGGTGGGGATCACCAGATGCGCTTGGCAGGTGCCACAGCTTGTCCTTTGTTATGTAGTACAAAAATAGCACAGGCAGACTGTCATAAGCTCATTTCTTTTGCAAAACTGTCCTCTGCTCCATTTATTTGGGTGATCTGAATAGCCTGTATTAACTGCTCAGACATCATCACTGAAAGATAGATCAACACCCAGATACCCCAGCAGTAAGTACATTTGAAAAGCCTGGACAAGCTGGATATCTAGCAAGCTCAGCTGAGCTAAATTATAGGGTGTTTTAGTTCCCTAGTAAGTTTCATATGACCAAATAAACAGGATTTTGTCAAACACAATATGAATAGGAATTCATAGAATTTTTAAACTGAATTGGAAACAGATTATTCAGCAATATTTGGAGATTTTCCCTATAGCATCAAAAATTCAAATCTGACAGCAAACGACAGCTGAAAAGTGACAATTCAATATTGACTCCCCAAGCCAAGGAAAATGCATGAAATTAGCAGTTTGAGGGGACCTACAAAGTGGTTGTAAGCATCTGCAAAGGCAAGTTCATGTATATTCTAAAATATTCCACATAGGACAATTCCTGACAGGATCTGAACCCCCACTGGAAAACTTGAAAGGTGTGATGGGTTAACCCAGGACATAAGGGATCTACAAATTAAAATAGGCTGATAACTATTGAATTAAACACACAGCACCAATGGTCCAAAGTAATTGCCTGCATCTTGAAAAGTTGGATATGTATGCTTAACTTCAAACACAAACAATGCAAAACCAGACAAATTAAGACACTAAATGCATAAACCTATATGCTAAAGTGTCCGCATGTTCAAGCTTAAATTGCAACTTCAGAAATAATTCTGTTCTAATATTTTAAAGTATGTTATTAATGTATTTAAATATTAAAATGTATTTACATTTATTTTAAAGAACTTAACTTTTAACTTTACAATATCCCTTTTTAGACAAATGACTTGACCTCAGATTTTGAGCTAAAAGCCTCTCTGACAACGGTTGCTAATTTAGCAGAACTTGATTTTGACTCATATAAACCTGTTAATCCACACATTTTTTTAATCTTTTCTTTTTGGTCTCTCTAGGCAGTTCAGTGACCAAAAGAGTAGTAACTGTCTTTGATGAAGAGCATGCACATAGTCCAAATGAGGACTTCCTAAAATAAACCAAAAAATGCATCTTGCATTTCATTAACCTATGTTAACAGCTTTATGAGGCAATTACAATTAAAAAGCACCTAGAAAAGGCATAAAGAAAACGAAAAGAAACACTATATAACTAAACACAGACTTACTGACAAGTATGAGACAGATTCGGTTCCAAACAAAACTCAGCATAAACTGGTGAAGTAGCATAGTAAATTTCCAATTAAAAAACCTTTGTTAATGAAAGCCGAAATGAGACACTTTATACCTACACAGAGCTTAAGAGTCAAATGAATCTTATTCAGGATAGAGTCATCCAGTTAATGATACTGTATAGAGAGCAGTAAATACCAAAATCTGGGCTCAGGTGTCTCAGCGTGTCCCTAAGAGGCAGCAGGTTCTGCACCAGTTTCCTCACTGTTTGGAGCTGTCCACCAGGAAACCAGGACTGTGCAGCAGTCTTGTAAAGCAAGCTCCTATTGAACAACTCCAGCAGCATTACCTGTCCCACGCCTCAGGCTTAGCAGGTAACTATTAGCAGAATCCAAACTTTCAGATACCTGTCGGAGCATTACCCATTACCAATTTAAATGACAGCTGCCATTTGCAAGGACTGTACTTTGGATATAAACTCGTGTTTGACAGAAACGAGTAGCCTAAATTGAACATCTGCTCCACAGCAGGACAGTATTTGATCCTCTGAACTCGTGCCTTTTTGTCAAGGGAAAATTCAATGCACAATAAGCTAAGGTGGAAATTTGCAGCCTGTTGCAGCTATTGGACACTAAATCATTGGCTTCCACTGTTGATTCCTGCT